GAGAACGCGGGAAGAGAAAGAGGCCGGGGAAGTGAGAGGGCACAGAGGGGAGAGGGGGAGTACCTCCGTGTGTGAAGGGGAGGCTGGCCTCGCCGGCGTCCGTCCCTCCCGCTCCAGATCTAGGAGAAGGTGAGGAGAGGCTCCAGATCGGGAACCTGGGAGAAGGCCGGTGAGGAGAGGCGACGGTCTCCCGAGGCTCTTTCCTCTCACTTCGTCCATCGTGGGCGGCGGCGGCGGCGGCGGGAGGAGGAACGAGGGTCGCGGGGAGAGGCGCGGGGAGACGCGGGCTAGGTCTCTGGCTGCCCGCTCGCTTTGCCCCTTCTTTTTCCCTCGCTGCTCGCCCTTGCTGTTTTTTTCCCACGCGCGGCGCGGTGCGGTGGTGGGCGCGGTGCGGTGTTTTTTTCGGTCGTGTGGTGCGGTGCGCCCTCGCTCCCACGCGCTGCGGTGCTTTTTTTCCTTCGGGTGGTATCATGCGCTGAAGCCATCGGTTGTGACTAGGAGTCTAGGAGGCTTTATTTAAAGCAATGATGCGCCGCTAGCTAGTGAGCTCCTGTTAGTGCTTAGGTAACCCCAATCCTCTGTTAGCTTGACTCTATTTGCTAATGAGACACTGGGCCATCGTTTGTTAAGACAAGTAGAGCAATGTGATAATGGTTGAATACATTTCATCATGATCTGGTCTCGTGGTTTACCTAGTGAAGCCGACTAGGTTGCCCTTGACCCTGTCCAATGATGCCCTTTGAGATCCGGTTTGGATGTCCCTTTTCCCCAAGTAGTGAACCTATGTATCTTCACCAACTCTTCTTCCGTGACTACTCCGAGTTCGTAACGATCCGATCTAAACCGTATGCGTCTTCATACTGATGCTAGGAACTTGATTCGTAGGCAAATTTTTTTGTTTCATACTACATTTCCCAACACGAGCAACCCAGTGCGCCATGTCCCTCTCACTTTGCAGATCCAGCTCGCACACCGCGTTCAAATGCGACGGAGGTGTGTCGTCCTATGTGATATTCGTGGTGATGTCCTTTCCTAAGGAGGACGGACTGTGATAGCCTCCACCAACCCTTGACCATGAAGGAGCCATTGCTGCCACTGGAAGAACACAAAGGCACTCCAGAAGTGGATTGAGGCTTTACAACACGAAACCAAAACGCCACCTAAGCTGACAAACAGGCCCACGGCGCAGGAGCCTTCGTCGAACTGAAGGAGGAGGAAGAGGAGGACTACGACGACCCCTGTGACACCTTCAACATCCGTTCCCACCTGAACAAACATCGGTGAAGTGTTGTCCATGTCATATGTCTGTGTTGTATTTGAACTATGTCGTATGTCCTTCGTTGTATCAACCCTACGTCATATGAACTATGTATTGTGTGAAGACATGTTCGCAAAACATATGGGTGGGTGGACGAGGGGGTATACAATTGCCCTTCGGGATGCTTTAACTAAGGGTAGGAACATCTAGTATGTAGAAAACTATTGCAAAGAAAATGTTGAAATATATTGCATGCCTCTCTCCATCAGTTCAGACTTGTGAATGAGCTAGCTAATACGCCCGTGTGTTGCAACGGGAGAAAAAACACCCTTCATACACATACTTGACAACATCAACAAATCTCTCGAAATCTTTCACGATGTCAGACAACAAACAACGTGAGCAAAAGGAGCTCCTCCCAAATGTTGTTATGGTCCAGATCTACTACCTTGTCTCCTTCAAGCTCTGGTTTCATCATCTTTGATGAGATTGTTCTAATCCCTAGCCCTTGAGCCTCAAATCTTTTGTGTTCATCCAAGATTCAAGAATCTTGATGTATGAGATTCTTTAGTG